TGTGTGTGTGTGTGTGTGTTGCGTCCAGCTGGTGGAAACATCAACACCCCAGAGATTTCCGTGGATATAAACCGATCTGGATGAATGGACGGTGGGAGAGGATGGAAGAAGAAGGGAAGGGTGAATGCAATTTGAAAAATGTGGAATGCAGAAATATTCATGTACAGTGGAAATGGAAAACTGCCGGTCAACCAGATTAGTGAATGATGCTGAAGGGCTAACGACACAATGAGCTGTACTTGATCGAATGCTCATTCTCCAACTCTTGATCGCTAAAGCATCAACGTATAAATAAGATTATATATAATATATGATCTGATACCACCCTACCTCTGGGCCCAGCAGGTCCAACGTCTCCTTTTTCACCTTGAACGCCTTCGACCCCGACCGACCCTTTAACACCACGAGGGCCCTGGAGACCCTTTTCTCCCGTAAACCCTGAAACACACAAACACACACACGGGACAGGATTGAGTTCAGTCGACAACAAACACAATATTAACACGAAAACTGTTCTGGTCCCAATCAGTCATCAGCTTCTCCTCATCGCGAGCTAAGACATCGTTCAAATTCCTTTAGTTATTGTGAGTTTTGTTTGAATCTGCTGCTGCTGCTGCACTTAATTGAAAATTAAGTCTTTGCAGTTGCAGTCGTGCAGCGGAGCAGTTGAACAAACATCGGGGTGATAAGATCTAAAATGAAAACATGCACTTGGTTTTAGTTTGTTTCATGATTTGCCTTCACTTTTGGAAGCTGTCACGTAAAAAATAAAGACGTCTCGATCGAACGTTATCGTTGGTCTTTCACCTCCTCTGCCGTCAGTCACTGACGACGCTTGAAGAAAAGCTTTTCTTCCATCAGATTTCTTGGTAACTCTTCAGCGCCACGGCAACACAATGGAACATGTGTTTACACTGAACAAACACAAACTTAATGAAGTATTGATTGCAACGAGAGCAAAATCAAATGTGACCGTGCTGTGAAATGCTCTGATTACACTGTTGTGACCACTCAGTGACTCCATCAGAGCGTTTGAGACAGAAACTCAAAAATAACCCAGTGACAGCCGATGTCATGTTTTTCTTCACTTTTCTGTTTCTCTGCTGCAAGAAAAGGTCAATTATTCCCCCTTTAAAAAAAACCCCATCAGGACACTGCTATCAATCATAGTGTGGAGCCAGTGGAGAAATGTTTGGCTGCAAGTGGAGGGAAACAGCTGAATGACAAACAGATTGTGGGTTTGATTATAGAGAGGAGGACATTTCTGCTAATGTCGTTAATTATTTACACAAAAATAAGAATCGGTGGCTCTGTGGCGCGGCGATTATTTGTTTAGATGTAGATTTACAATCTGTCGTTCCTGCTACTTCTAATTTTAAGAATAAATGTTTTGGGTCACAATCACTGGTACGAATCTCTTTTCTAAACAAATAAAAAGAGAGGAATGTTTATTCAGACAGCTGTAATCAGAACACTGGTGTTGTTGTGTTTGTGTGTTTTGGCCCTGGGGTGTTTCCTACGTTTTTTATGTTCGCTTGTAATGAGCGTTTTCCTCTTTTCTTTCTCCCCCTGCAGTGAAAAAATTCTTTACATTCACTTTGTTCCGGGAACCCGTGGCATCACGAGGGGGCCGCGTCCCTTTCAGCAGAAGATAATGCTTCTTGGAAAAGTCATGTGAGAGTTTATCGGCCGTGGAATACAGAGCAGACGATGACAGCGGAGGGAGGGAGGATGGATGGATCAAGAGGTACCCAGCTGGAGGGGGGTCCTGAAACATCTGGAGTCGTATCGTTGTTTGCTTCTTACGGTAACGATGAAAAATTGTCATTTCATGGTTCCTGAAGCGCCAATTCTGCCTGGATGAAGGTTCGTGTTGTGGCTTTTGAGGAATTTGCTCCAAGACGGAGATAGACGACGCGTCCCACCGGCCGCGTCAGAAACTTCTCTCCATCACGAGTGCCTTGTTTTCTTTAATGGATTTATGTGACCTTTAATTCTGTCTGCTCGCTGTTTCTTATTAATGATGTTGAACACGATCACTAAAGCAGAGCTGCGACAGAATACTGGCCAATGTCCACTTTCACGCTACTTAACTTTCAAACCTAAATCTGCATCTGTGAAAAACATGTTCTGATGTTTACGTGAGACGTTTATGGGTCTGCCGTGACCGTCCAAACACTCAAGGGAGTAATCAGAAATCTGTTTCATCTGAATTTATCTGCTTACTTGAACAGTAAATTAAAAATCTGGTTGGTGACATGTTTATTTGGGTGAGAAATAAAAGTATTATGTGATAAATACAATGTTTGTTTAATATGTAGTTAAAGCTCCAAAATGATGATAAGGAACATTTTGTGATTTATTTCATATTTAAATTGAACCTTTAATACTGCAGAGTCATTTGACCTGGGTATTAATGCTGGTGGCGTTCTGGCTGTACCCACCTCTCAGGCCAGTGAACCCAGGGGCCCCAGGGGCCCCGAGTGGTCCAGTGTCACCCTTATCTCCCTTAGGTCCTGGAGGCCCTGCAGGAAGAAGAAACAAATATGGTCATAATTACATAACGCATAAAAAATTAATTAATTACTGCTGCATAATTTGTTATTAATGTAGAAGCATTAAATATATTGATGTCGCAAAAAACAGGCCCAACCAGAAATGATTGATGAGTTTTATTTTCAGGGAAGCTGCAGAGTGATAATCTTCCGATGAATAAAAGTAGGAATAAAATAAAACTGAGTCTCTCTAATAGTGAAGATGAGAAGAGCGTTCATCATTAAAACACGTTTCCAGAGTGATTATCACTTGAAAAGGGAACAAATGGGACCAAAGATCAGAAGATTTGAACTAAATCGTGAAATCAAGTCAAATTTATTAGAGCTCACACAAACACAGGCGGAATCAAGGCCAAACTGGGACTTACAACTGGTCTGAGGAGTCAATCCAAAAGTTTGTTGTTCTTGGAGCGAGTGAGGAAAAAAAGCCAAATAGTGAGTGAGAGAGCGAGAACGAGGGAGATGCAGAGGGGGAGAAAAGAGAGCTAAAGGTCTGGCCACAATGGAAACCACATGTTTGACAACACAACTTGTGGGAATGCTTAGCAATGCAGCGCTTGTTATTGTCCAGCACATGTCCAGAGGTTCCAGTGATTCCGAGCTCTGAAGTTCTTAATTTGCAGGTTTGTGATGCTGAGAATCTGCTGACGGACTTTGAGATTCAGATCCATCTGCTGCTGCTGTCGCCTCCAGCTGCCTCACATGTGCGTCCACTTAAGGACGAACGTCAAGTGACCACCGGAGCCATCAGGACACGTCCCTTCGGGTGCAAATGAATATCTGTGGCAAATGTTGTTGGTAGCAAAAGTGAAATAACTTTCCTCTGCTGTGAGGAGTCAGGGGCTCACAAGAGGCAGGAGGACTTAACGACCCGGGGACCGCGAACGATGAGAGACGACAGTGATATAATCCTCCTCGTTTGTCTTAACTGTCTTCTATCGTGACGTTGGCTATGGACATTCAAAGTGATGGAGACTTCAGCGTTAAACACACAACATGTACCTTGGGTCCCAGGGAGACCAAACAAAAACAAAAGACCTAGTTTGAGCATGTTGCGATGCAGCGTTGGATCATGGGAGATGTCTTCGTCTCATTTCTTACTTGGTTCTCTTGTGTGTTTGCTTTTTAACGGAGATTTGGCAACAGACGCAGCAAATCAGGATCCAATAGTGACCGATACAGATGGACAACAAAAAGGGAAAAAACTGCTAATTGGCAAACTGTGTTTTTCCTTTTTTACATCTTGTTTGCCCCTGAAGTTAAAGTGGAGATAAAATCATGGATTTCATTGCCATTCACCTTTAAATTGTCGGATTTTAAAGTTATAGATCGTTCAACTCATCCGCACGGTCCTCACAAGTACTGCAGTACAGAAGTGCGTGCACTATGCATCTGTGTGCGTGCGTCAGCTTCGGAGACGACGCTTCGACCCGGTGGTCCTGGAGAAATTGCGTCCTTGTAAATAGTTTGTTTGAGCAGCGCTTCACATTATTAATCTCTTGGCTCTCTGGGTCCAATTTGTTCATTCAGCTGACGGAGTTTAAACAATAACAAGCCGAGGGAGGATCATCCCATCGTCCGGGAACACGACACTGGTGAGGAGCGTCACGCGGTCCAGCAGAGATCACTGGTGTAACAACATGTATGTTAAACATGAACAGAGAGGAAGCATGTTGTTAAATCCATCACCATGACAAATTATACAAAGACATTATCAGGGCTGAGGAGGACACAGGACGTTGTAATGGACAACAGATGGACACAGGCTAAAATGTTCAATGGACGTATTTAATATACGTCATCGTACTGTTTATGTTCCCGACTGAGGATTCAGGGCAAAGTGTCCCGGATGCTGAGTCGACTGAACCTGATTTACAGCCAATTTTTCTTAGTTTTTATTTTGTATGTGTAGAAGGAAGAGATAAATATATAGTGAAATATTTCTCAGAGGAGTAAAAATGAGAGAAACGGATCAACAGCATTGCAACAAGGACGTAATTGTTGCGTCTCGATCTGGATGAATCCAAAGATAAAATAGTAGTTATGCTACATTTACTCACTGATGTTTGTTCTCGTCTTTCTTTTGCAAAATTGAAGTGGTTGAAGTCGGTGGTTGTGTTAGTGTGTGTGTGTGAGGCGACTGAGTTTCACTGGTAAAACAAACACGCCACTCAATATATACATTAAAGGTCATCAGACGCTGTAAATGTTTCCAGGCCTCCGCTGCGCTCAGATCAGCCGACGACTCCAACTGAAGAACGAACTGCTGCACAGCGACTCTCAGCAACAACAGATCATCTGTCCAAACCTGCACGTCACCGATGCAGCACGAAAAACCCCCGTGACTTCATGTTTTTGTGTTTTTTGGCTCGGAGCTCTGCATGCAAATGCCGCACATCTGTCAAAGCTGAGTCACGACGCGGAGAAACTTCCTCGAGGTTCGATGATTAAGTGATTTTGCACGAATGAAGAAAAAAGGGTGTAGACACAGCAAACGTAATAAATAAAGTCAAGTCTTTGTTCAATGATCCAAAGGTCACAGTTGTTTCTGTGTTGTGTTAGTGAATGTGAAAATTATCGTGTGGAGACAGCGACAGTTGGACGCAATCACTGGGTAACCATGACAACACAAATTAAATGCAACTATCAAGATGTGAGGAGCCGTGTTTTTGCTTTTAGAGGGAAACACATTCATGTGTTTAGTGACGTTGCACTAGTTCTCAAAAAAGCTGAAACGCTCAGGAAACTTCACATTAATTCACTTTCTCCAGAAAGACTGCATTTGCTTTTCCCTAGAATGAAACATGTCGGCGATCAGCACCAAATCAGGAATCAGGAAGACCGTGATATGTGTGAGCATTGTCTCCAGTTGACCACAAACCCAATCTGCCTGTAAGCACAAGCTTTAGTTCCTTTTGCAGTTTTCCTCGAGCTTAAGCCTTCATTTGACGTCATGTGCGCATCTAATATTTGCTCAGTTTTTCTTCTCCACCAGCTCTTGAAGGAAATGCCTGGATCTTTAGCCGCTCAATGCTCCGGTGTGTTTCACCGGATAGTTCTTATTTTTACCGTTTTTACATATTTTGCTGCAGCCAAGTGTGACGCTGTGAGAGCAGGGAGCATAAAACCTAGATAGTAAAGGTGGAGGCCAAACAACAACAGCAAAGATCAGAGATGTTTTTAAAATACTCAAACTAAACGCCGGCGGGGGGGGGAGCTCACGTACGCTCTCTCTCTCTCTCAATACATCACGTATGCTCCCGTCAAATTGAAAGATAGTTGTGAAACCCGAGCTGAAGGTGTTTTTGATTTATGCCAATAGACGAGCAGAGAAAAGAAAGAGCAAGAGGAGGGAGGAAAAAAATATGGCCCAGAACATGACACGAAACAGAGAGAGGGGAATACCGGGCAGGGACTCGCAGTTATGTAGTCAAGCCCTTTCACCAATAACACAATATTTTTTTATTATCATACTGGGTCAAACACTTAACGCGTCCTTCGTTGGCTTCTGACATGTGAAAACTGAACTGTTCTGCTTTCTGGCAGGTTGAAACTTTTGCTTCGTGGGTTTTTACAAGGTGGAGACTCCAACACTCGATGCGGCAATGAGCTCATGTACTTTAAATGACACATGCTTAGAACGCACGGTAAAACACACACAACACGGGCAACACATCATCAGGACACTGATGTAGGTGGGTGAGGGGTTGTCCGCCCTCCGTGACTCAACTAACTGTAACGAAGAAACGCGGGAGCGACGCCGAGGCTGTAAATGTTTGGCTTAAAATGACCACGACATGAACTGGGATGGAAACTGAGGCGGCACAACACGAGGCAGCGCGAGGCCGGACGGTGCGGCGTGTTTGCGTTGGCCGCTCCGTCACTCTCAGCTCCACTGACGCTGCTGTCGCCATCCGACATATAACTGAGCTCATAACTGAGCTGTAACTAAGAAAGTTAACTCTGTGTGCCTGCGTAGAAATGAAAAATGTAGATAACAAGACGGAGATAAGACTCCGCCTGGGGTGCGTGGAGGGGTTAGACTGTCAGCTGTTGTTATTTCATCATCATGAAGCTTGAAGACTTTTCACAAAATAGCCTGAGAGTGTGAACTTTAAAAGATTCCGACATTTACTCTGCAGCAAAGGGCAAATAAAAGACACTTGGAGTTACTTTATGGAAATTTGAGGACTGAGAGTTTTTGCAGTTTTTTTTTTTTGCATACGAGAGACTAAAAGTGATTTTGGCTTCTGCTGTACAAACCTTTTAATCTGTGTTTCACTAAGTCATGGAGGTGCAATAATTAATGACTGGAAAAGCCCTTTAATCACTTTTTGGATGAAAGTGTTGGAAAGTCTTCGTGTTCATCTCGTTCACTGACGTCACATCACAATGATGAATCGTTGTTTTGATTGCGGGGCGTTACGTATTGTACATTTGATAGAATTTTCTTTCTCATGATTTTATATTTGTTCGCTATCTCTTTATATTATTCTCCGAAAAACAGATCTATCAAAAGCTCCATGTAATAGCTGTTCTAGTAATTTTATTATTTTACAGTTTCGCCCCAAATATCGTTCCTGACCTTTGAAAGAATTGACATCTGGTGACTAACGAGACGCCGCCTGATGACCTCATGTGTGTCGCAGTGTGTAAACTCTAATTAAAATATTAAAATGTACTCTCAGTGAGCACATGTGACTGTTAATAACACAATGTTGTGTAGTTATTTACAACCCTGTGGAGGCAACACAACCCTTTCTTATGATTAAGAAAACAAGTGAACCGGGCACGAACGATGCGATTCCCAGAGGAATCGAAGGCAAAAACCAACAAGAAGATAAAAGAGGATGAAAGAAGACGAAAGGAGGCACGAGAACAGAAGAGAAGAGGATAAACATGGACGGAGATGTAAAAACTTTTCTTGGCGAAGGTGACCTTGGGCTAACGACAAACAAATGGGCAGCAGAGCTAAAACTAATGACAGAGCCGAGCGGTTGCGTTCTCGTTCTGGATCCAGCGTCTAAATTTAACCCACAATTGTTTCCAGGCTCAGGAGGAATACGGCATCCCACCCACATGTGAAGCAGACACGAGATCGGGGGTCCCGCTCGGTTCGAGCTGCCATCAATCAGCTCGGGCTGCGTCCCCTGCCAGCATTACATCATGACATACCTATTCTGATTTTAACAAGCCAGGGAAGTCATTTGCTGCGCTGGCAGCCGGAGTCGTACCCAGTCGGCACTAATCAGCCCTGAACCGATTGGAGGAAGAACATTCAGAGTTGCTTAATACCCCTGGGTAGTAATCCCACAGTGTAAAATCACGTTTGCATGCTGGGGTCAGTTACGTTCAAGCCCACTGCAAACATGTATCGGCTCAGACGAGCTGTTGTAAATCGATTACACCCGGAGTTCTCACGTTCTGGTTCTTCACCGTGACCCTGGTTAGATGTAGCGTAGACATCTCTTTTTCACGCAACACGTTTTTGGTGAATTACCCAAACTTTGGCTGCTTGAACCCATCCCCACCTGAACTCCCAACGTCTCTTAATGTTTAAAACAACTTGTATTTTTGCAGTTGACTTCTGTTATTTCGATAGAGATTTCTTGATAAATAGCAGAAGTGGCTCTGGTTTCAGGTGGAGCGTAAACCGAGGGAAATCTGAACCGATCGAACTCTGCCACGGGCGGGGGGGGAGGGGGGACTCACAAAGAGCTGGACCACCGTCAGTTACCTCAACTATTCACGCAATGCTGGCAAGGTAAAAAAAACTGTGCGGGTGATACGTTGTAGATATGCAGGTTTTGCACAAACCACTCTGGAGCTCATTGACTGTGAAAAGCACGTGTTTAGAAATTGCTCAATGTTGAAATACATTCACTGAAATGATGTTTGAGCCCAGTTTGAACTGAATAAATCAGTCGTGGAGCGACACTGATCCGTTGCCTCCTGCGGGAGAAGCCGCATCCTGGTTCACATTAGCGCTCAGAGCAGCGGTCTACACGCACCTTCAATGATGGTGAGGTTCTTCAGGGTCAGGGAGTGCTCCCAGTCCCTCAGACGGAGGTCCTCTGTGATGGTGTTGAGGATCTCCATCTCGTTCCTCAGCTGGGCCTCCGTGTGGACGTGGGTCACCCACAAACTGCTGGTGTCCTCCGTGATGTTGCTGATCTGGATCTGCGCATCAGAACGAGTTACTTTCGTCTTCTCCGTCTTCTCAGTGATTCGACCAATACGACATTTTAACGTGTCTGAGACGAACCTGCAAGTCCTGTAACTTCAGGTTGTGAACGCTGATGTCATTGCTGACGGTGTGATTGACAGCTCCCACCGTCCAGTTGACGTCGTCCAGTTTCTCCCTCAGCCCGCTCACCCTCCCTGAGGTCTCCCTGCGACAGAGAAGAGCAGAAACAAACAGCCGTTGAATCATCTGTGCTGCAGTTTCACTTCTACGCTTTTAGAAGTCTGGATCTTTAGTGCAAGCTGCTGCTGTACCGGAGCAGACGGTCCTGGTCGCGGAGCCAGTTGGAGGCTCTTGTCACCTCCGCGATCAAGCTCGTCAGGTTTCTGCTGGCGGAGCTGCTCAGGGAGGACAACTTGTCCTCCAGATGCACCAGGTAGCTCTCGGACTGCAGAGAGTACGCCTGGATGCTCCTGAGCTCCACCTCCACGCCCTGTACGGGAAGAGACCAGAACAAATAAAGGACAATACTTCATCCACGCTTATCTAAGTACACACAAGTATATAGAAGTGAAAACCTGAAAGGGAAATGGAGAGTGCGAGCAGGGCAGACGTTTCCTGTCTGGAAGTGACGTCTATTGACTTGAGGAGGAACTTTGCATTAGAAAAGTTATTTAGTTGAGTCCCTGAATAAACAACTGTCCTGTAACACTGTCCAGGTGGAAACTGCTGCTCTGTGTAAGCTCTTGTTCTCTGTTTTCAGTCGGACCTTGATGAGGATCTCCAGCCTCTGCAGCCAGTCGCTGTGGTTCTGGAAGAGGTTCTCCAGTTTCCAGATGTTCTCCAGCAGGTCGGCCTGCGTGGACGCCTCGCCCAGGTTCTGCTGCAGCAGCCGAGAGCGCTCCGACATCCGGGTCACGTTCTCCATCAGCACCTCCTGTCGCTGCGAGGACACCTGGGAACGAGACACTGGGGCGGGGAGGAGAAAGATGGGGAGTGAGAGGTTTGTTCTGGTTTGTTGATCCACTGATCCCTCAGGTGCAGCAAATCGAACATCGTTCACGATCAATCACGTCTGTCAGCCTGGAGCTGGCCAGCGGTTTCTCGGTTGTCTGTTCCCTGCTAAATGTATTGTTTCGTTAATTTAAGACTATAAAATATTTTTATTTTAGCTGAAAATGAGTTTCCAGTGCGGGCTCAGCATGAAGGTCTCTGTGCTGTAATATCATACTGTGGTAATGATGTGTTCAATTTGAATGATGTTGAAGTTGGCCTCGGCGTGTTGCTGTTCGTCCAACACTCGCAGGAGAGAGTTTTATTTTAAGATCTGAAACTATGAATTCCTCGTGATGGAATTTATGTCCGTTCTCCTTTCACTGCCGTTTTAAACCAGTTTACACGTCTTCACGACATATTCCACTATTTGACTTTTAATTTAGCCTATTTTGTGTATTTAAGTCATTTAGAGATGACATACAGAGAGAGAGAGAGATCGACGGATGGATGGACGAATGGAGAGATTAGTAGATAGATGGATGGATTCAGATATAAATATATATATATAGATTGACACTAGATAGATATAATTCTCTGAATGACAAGTCACTTAGCTGTAACATCAACATGTGCTGACAGTGGACATGCTGCCTCTGAACCTCTTCTCCTCTTGAGGCCACTTCTTCAGTATTTTTCTATCCTCTCGACTGAGCCCTATGAGAAGAGGCTCTTCTGTTTCGTGTTATGTTGGAAGCACGTTGCGCGGTAACGGCTCGATAGCCCGAGAGATATTTTGAAACCAGATCCTCAGCGTTACGCCATGACGACATCCCCCTCGGCAGGACAGCAGGGACCAATGTGTGCGTAGTAAAAAAAAAAAAAAAACTCAGGAGAAGAAAGGATGACTTGGAAAACGAGAGGAAGCAGGTAATTCCCCCCACACATGCTCTTTGACACACTGATGCCACAGCTCCATGTTACACAGGCTGAGTGTTTCTGTTTCCACGTATCTGAAGAGAGTTTAAATCTAAAAGAGTGTGTGTGTGTGTGTGTGTGTGTGTGTGTGTCAGAGTCTGTGCCAAGAAAGTTCTGCATGACCTCAGAGCAAGAAAAGTGCCGCAAAAGCCACAGAGCTGCAAACAAATCATCTAAATTCCCACCGATTACGTGTGTTAGGTTTATTCCTAATGACCTGAGACACTGAATAAGCTGAAATCTCTCCACTACACAGGGAGATCCATTGATAAATGACGGTGTGTCAGCGGCGGTTCGTGGGGTTTCCTTTCCCAGAAGAACAAACACATCTCCACGGTGACAATCTTTTAATATCAAGAGTCTTTTCTTCCAAATGAGCCTGATGAGAATAATATTGGAAATTTGGAAATGTAGAAACACATGTTGAATATCAGATCATTTTTATCGGTGATCTCGAGAAGTTTCTTTCTGAAGTTTGTCATGAGGGACCACAGTGCGGTTGAAGGTTTAAGGTGCAGAATTACATTTCTCAACCACAGACAGTTTGAGGTCTGTAGGTTCTCACAGTTCGGAGCAAAGACTTGAATTGTAATCAAGTTTCAAGATGGAGATTTATTCATAAATGTCAAGAATTCGTCGTTTTATCCAAAATACTAAAAGAAAAACTAAACACCCATGTAGCTGCTGCACCTCTTCTTCAGTCTGTGGAGATACAGCTGGAAATGTGAAGCATTGAGGACGAGGAGAATTGAAAGATGAGCTTCATGCCTGATAAATCTATTTCAAACCTGTAATATGGGAAAGTTAATGTCTCGTTTTTTCCACCCCCCCCACCCCTCCTATTCTTTCCTCTCTCACACACATGCACAACAATTTAAACTCACACACAGCGGCATGGCAACACGGTTCAACACACACTAATCCAAAATTCACAGCGTCACGGTCTTTGAATTCTTCACTGGAGAAGAGGACACTTTATCCCTTCATGTATAAAGTGGTGTTTTCCAGGAGAGCAGGCCAACACAACAGCTGGATGTCAGTGTGTCATCAGGATGAGATCCTCCATTAATGCTTCACTCACACTGTCTCTTGCACTTTTCATTCATAATGAAGAGAATCAGGGCCTAAGTAAAAAAAAAAACATTTTACATTTCAAGACCAGTGTTTTCTGACATCAAATCAAAAATACTGTCACAATGCATTACAGACACACACACACACTGTGACACAGACAGACAGGCTGGACAGTGTCATGGTCGGGGCAGAGAGGAGACAGAGGGAGGTCTATCAGAGCTGCATTCCTCTGCGGACGAAGCCAAAACCAACATGGTGCTGTTCGTTTGTGTCTTTATCTGCAGTCTGAGCCTGTGTTGTGTCTATCGTACGTCGTGAGGACATTTTGTCTGGTCCTCATAAATTCAACGAGCTGGTTTTAGGGTGGTAGAGAGGCGTGCATGTGTGTGTGTGTGTGTGAAACTACTAGAAGGAGATAAAAAAAACACCAGTATTGATGTAAAACCAGCACAACCAGTTCACTGAATGCAAATTTGTCACATGACACACCCCCCAACCCCTTCATTTATAGAATCGTTTCCCTGTTGCCTGTTTTATATAGTTTATACGAATGTTAAACAATAGCGCTAGCGGTTGCAGCATCTGTAACGGCGTGTTTACGACCTCGCTGCAGCTGACGAGGACCACCTATAACATTTCAACTTCGATTGGTCAATTTGAGCTGCTCTGTGTACCGAGGGGAAGAAAACGGGCCGAGTCAGTTTAAACCTTGACCTCACCACAGTTGTATTTCTCCGAAACTCACAATACGACTGAAAGAATGTAAACTTCCATCTAACCTTCATCTTGTCTTATACCCAACTATAAATCAGCCCTCTGCGTATTTTAACCACTGAAAACATTGTGTCCTCGCAGGTCTTTCATCACCGGACCTCCACGAAGGAGTCCGACATGTGTGAGAGGTGAGGGGGAGCCGCAGACGGCCTCCTCCTGACCTCTTCACCTTCACACGGGCATCCATCTTGGAGGGAATCTAATCTGATAAGTGACTGATACGGAGAAGGTGTTGACATGACTGTAACCAGAACATCTTGTTGGAATCAGGCTTCGGCAAACACGATCCCCCAGTTATCCAACCCAAACATGGCTGCGATAAAAAGCCAGAACAAACTGTTCCAGCTGCACGTCGAGTCCATGGAGGAGCTGAAGTGACCCTTCAGAGTAAAGCAGGAGCCAGGTGTTGAAACTGAGATTCCAAATAAAACGTCAAACATGATGATGAGGTGATTAGATCCCGGTCTTCTAAGGCTGTGAACCATTAAAATTAAATATTGTTCTAGCTTTGATGCTTGTTGTGGTGGTTTGAGCCGGAACAAAAGTGATTTAAAGATACAGAAATGAAGCCAAAGTATCCAAATACAGCGTCACCATTCTACTTTCTGTGGGTTTCAAGGTTCCGCCCATAGCGAGACTTTCCCATCTGTACATAGTGACATTTATCTTGTTTAATAGCAAATGACTAGAATAGCAGGCGCCCTTATAAAGACACATTTAAATTCCCTAGATCCAGATTTTGTTTTTGGATTTGCACCAAGTTACACACACTCCTAAATGTCACTTCTATAAACATGACATATGCTCACATAAAGGAGGCGGGGTTTATGATCTATAGTGCAGCTAGCCACCAGGGGGCGATCGGGATGATTTGGCTTCACTTATTGTGGGGCCGTCGTGTTTTTGAAGATTCAGAAGGAACGAATGAGAGGGTCAGACGTTAGCTCAGAGGTGTGGAGGTGGACCAACAGGTAGACTGGGCTGGAGCGTCTTCAACATTTGCAGACAGATATGATGTCAAACACAAAGTCCGCTCAGTGCAGGTTCACTAATTGAGCAGCCAGAGATGAAAGTGATCCGACCGCGGAGGAGGATGAGAAAAAAAGCAGAAACATTAAAAACAGCTACTTTACGCTGTCGCATTTCGACGGCAGCTGTTTCTCAATATCCCTCTCGTCATAAAAAAGACACCACATCTGTCGCTGTGTTTTTGTGTGTTTGTGTGTAAGTGAGAGAAACAGTGAGAGACCTCCACTTCCCACCAGACAGAAACTGAACAACACCCTCCTGCTCTCTGATGGGACGCCAGCAGCAGGACGGAGGGAAGGAAATAAAGAAGAAAGAGTCTTTTTGTGAACTGCAGATCCTGAAAGTCTTCCAGCGGCGAACAAGAGTGAAATTACAGGATCTTGAGACGTGAATGGGAACAACGTGCTTTCTTTGACATCACATCAAAACGCAGCGAGGAGGTGGATTTAAAATGGTCGAGTACAAAAGGGTAGATTCATATCTGCAGTCAAACTCAGAGACCACCTACTGCTACAGAGATAAAACTGTGTGTGAGAGAAAGATTGAATTGGATCATTGCAAGTTAGCAACTGTGAATCAATTAACTAATCAAAACCAAACTTACAGTGAGAGTGTGATAAGACCAACACAAAAAAACAAGGTTATTTAGTCCCATCTGCTAACATGGAGGAGACATACGCTAAATTATCCATCTGTTGGAAAATAAAGCACTTCATTTGAAAGGTAAGCTGTTTGAAAACAAACATTACGTCTTCTACTAAATGTGTTTTCTGCTGTAGTTTAGGGGACAACGGTTTGTGTCACCAGAAAGTTTCCAGTCTACCAACACAGCAGACACGTGGCATCATCATTCGCTTGGTGTCGTGTTTCTAACTTGTTTTGCTTTCTTTCCAGGGTCTAGTGAATCTCACTCCACTTGTAATTTCCCGAAACTTTCGTTTGGTATTTCCCAGCAGATTACTGTTACCACACTAAACCAATAACTGGAAACACACATCATGTATCAGATCAACTTCTCGTCAGGCAGGAAATCTCACAGCTAATTTATCCTCGTTTGTGCTTCTTGCTCTTCCTGCATCACCGGCCTGTTTGTGTTGAATCCGAACCAGCTTTGTGGGAAC